ATTAACTAAATGGCTCCCTGGAGTCTGTGTAAAAAGTTCACTTTAATATCAAAAATTTGCTCAAGAATTTAATAGATCTGTAGAGATAGTGGGAGAATAACAGCTACGACCCCCTCTGCTAGGCGACGGGAGGGGAGTAACATACACAAGCCCCCACACAAAAACTGAGTAAAATAAAAGGTTTTATTGCAAACTTTACACAGAAAAGGGACAGGGCTGTTCGACAGACCATTGTGCAACCAATTAATACATAAAGAAAAAAAAAAGACAAGAGTAAAAGCTAAGGGTTAACCAAGGCAAGCTAGCGCCACAAAACTATAATAAAACTAAGTTCAGCTGTATACCAGGTTTAGCAAACAAAGCTGAAAAGACAGGCAGACAAGGGGGACAATGTATGTTAACTTCTGAGCAGCAGTGCCCATAGTGTAAAGGCTCTTCAGCCTTTTATATCCGCACTGCACACAATCAGCTAGTCATTTCCTCTTGGAGTGTCATGGAATCCCTACGCAGCCAATCGTCTGCGTGGACTGGCACACTTCAATCTGCATAGAAGAGGGCTGGCACAGGTCTCCCAGTAACCAATCATCCACGAGTCCTAGCACACTTGGATTTGCATAAATATAAAAAGGCATTCTCACTCTTAAGGCTCAGGGCCGTAACAATAACCCACTAAAATTCTATTCAATCCAGGTTTATTTATATTAAGCTAACAGCAGCAATAGCGTGCTTTATTCTGTAAGGTAAAGACTCGACAGGATTCTTAGAGAAAATCCCAACAATCAAGTGATCTGTTATGAACAAGCACTTTTGGGATGACGGGAAGGTAAAACTTCCTTTTAAACAGGGTCAGGGAGAGGCAGCCATCTGCTACTGTGACGGGCTCTGGGGTAAGGGGAAAGAGAGAACTCTCTGTGAATGGTACTCATGGCCATTGATCAGTGGGCTTTGATCAATGGTCATGAGAATTTGCATACTAATGATCAAGGAACTGACCTCCCAGCCCACTGTTCCTTCAGTGATGTTCCTTCAACCATTATCCAAATGCCCTGTTTGTAAGATTGGGGAAACCTGCAGTCAGCTGAGACTAAAGAAGTCACTCGGATGAGTGGCGAAACCAATGAAAACGCTACATCCAGATGAACACAATCAATCTTTTGGGATTTACCTACCTGGATGATTGAGCATGCATCAAGACACTGGAGGGGAGCGAATATTCAACACAATCTACGGTATGCAAAGATCACTGTGTGAATTCTATCCTTTACGCTCCTGCTTATGACAATGTTTCACACACACTTTGACCTATTTAATATGCAGAAAGATGTCATACCTACATGAGCAATATTACAACCTTCTTATCCTTGTTTGATTATTAGTAATGAGAATAAAAGAGATACCAATAAACTGGTTGTAAAAGCATTTTGTTAAAATGTACAGGTAGCTATGACGGTGCTTTGAATTGAGTGCATAAAAATTATAATAAAAGATTTAATAGTATATACTCACCTAGGCATGCTCTAATTGAATGAAGGACTATTGTGAACAATTTTCAGCATGTAAAACGTTTGAACGTTCATCTGTACTGTTTGTGATACATAGAAAGGATCATTTAGACGATCCTCTCTATGTATCGTTGTAGCTCAATAAAACCCTCAACTCATTAAAGTTGAGATTAGAGTGTCTATAGTTTTGCAAGTAGACTGGAATTAGTTCAGTAGATCAATAGGAGTCATGTTTGTGATATTTTTGCCTATTCAAAGTGTGGCTGCGTGGAAAAGGCAAATTTGGTTGCAGAGAACAACTTGAGAAAGCAAAACCATTTGTCTCAGGAAACCAACTACAACTAAGTAAAAAGATTCAGGAATGCACTGATTTCAAAAGAAATTGCAGAAGAGAATAGAAACTCAGAAATTTATTACCCAGACCACTAAATTATTAACACTCATGTAAAAACACATTTGTTCATACTACAGAACACTCAACAGTATGCACAATTATATTCACAAACATTTAGAACTTTTTGGAGTGAGAAATATCCCTTGTAGTACTTATATTCCGATTTTCCCTTTCATTCACAAACACCGCATCTGTCTCCAAATCTACTTCCTGTATCACCTGTAGTCAGCTAGAACCAATAAGGTATGTAAAATTACTACCTTTAATGGTAGGAAACTTCTGTTTTCTTCATTTTTCTATGAAAAATATATACAAGTATGTAACGTGTTGATTTCCATGATCATTCCAATTTACACTGAGCAACCATAAAAAGACACAGCTACACACAAAACATAAATCCATAAGGGTATATTTGATCTAAAAACACTAGAAAAATATGACACGTTAATGTTATGCAACAGTTGTTCACAAAATGTTCTCTATTTATGATTAGTTAGGATTGTATACAAACTTCAGAATCAGATATATCATCATACCAACAAGGACCATTTGTCTTCAAAGAGTAAAGGCAGTGCATATAGCACATCTGCTCAACAGATTCAACTTGTTGATCCTTAAGTTTTAACTCTGAGTGATGTCAGCCCATCAAGGGTTAGCAGTCACATGATCTAAAACCTTTGTAAAAACACTCTGTGCATCTTCAACAAACAAATCCAGCAAACGGTTTATACTGTTGTAAGTTGACCAACAGGAAAATGCTGCTGATCCTATGAATCCTATAGCTGAAAAAAAATTAGACTTTTCATTATCCACAGCTACACAGGCTGAACGCACCGATAGTGACAGAATGTCTGTGAAAAGAGCTTTGACCCTTTCTTTATCAGCAAGAGGAGATTTCATGACAGCTTTTAAATCACTCAAAGGCAGTCCTATTCTATCGGCAAGTTTCTGCAGTGACTCACAGTCGAAACCAAACGCAGATTGGTATTCATTGATGACATCATCCAAAACAGGACAACATGAGGAAATAACTGCTACAGCAGCATAATATTTTATCTTGTCCTGAAATATCTCCTTCTTCTTGCTGATTATCTCCAGGTTGATGATGGGCATGGCCAACAGCAGAGCATGCCTTTTCTGTGCAGGAAGTTGCTTTTCAAGAGTCTCCCCTAAAAGGCTGAAATCGTACTTGCGGGGCTCAGGACTGGACACCAGGAATACTTGGTGGGACTCTAGACCTGCATTTTGAAGCTCTGTGTAATACAGTTCAAAAGGTATTTAATGCGTGCAATTTTATGTCATCTAAATATACTGTCAACATTAAAATGAATTAATTTTAATTATAAAATCATAACTCTTAGAATAACAAAAATGAAACTAAAAAAATAAAAAGGAAAATTAGGAAAATGCCACCTTTACAATATTATTTAAGAAGGCACTAATATTTCTATATTAATGTTTTTTATTACAAAACAAACTTACCTTCAGTACAGTTATTCCTGATTTTGGAAAGAGTCTCCTCTTCATTGAATACTTTCTTTTTTTGTTCCATACGCAAATCGTTGTCAATCTTTGAGCGAACAAAGTAGAACTTTTTCTTCATCCTCTGAATCTCATGAACAAGTTTCACATCATTTTCCCTGAAGCGAGTGTCTGAGATAATGATGAAGAAGTCAAACTTCTGAAACTCAACATGCTCTAGGTACTTAGCAGCTGGAAACTTTGCGGTGCCAATTCCAGGAAGATCCCATATTTTAACATTGGGATAATTTGGATAAGTGTATAGTGTGGCCTCTTTGGTGGTTTCAACTGTACCAGTAGGCGCAGAGTTCTCATCTTCATCTGATAGGTCTCTAAGAGCATTAACAAAGGTGGATTTCCCAGAACCACATTCTCCAGTGATGGCAATATTTAGTGGAGTGTTTTTCTGCTGATCCAAAATCTCCATGATCTTAGCAGCCCCTTCTTCATGACTTTTATTCATTGCTTCCTTAATTTCTTCAAAAAGTTCTTTGTTTTCAAAGAATTCGGAATGATGATCCATGGCAGTCCCACAAACTGAAAAAACTATAATCATTTTCTGGTTTGATTCAAGAGATTATACAGCACATGCTTATTTTAGTTATTTATATGACTGAAGAGTATAAATATTTTCATTTACTGTTCTATACATTTAACACAAGCCGTTTTGGTAAGACAAATTTCTACAAAAATGCTTTTTTAATCAAAAGGAAAAAAAACAACCCATAGACAAAAAAATCAATAGTAACAGATACTCACTTGAGGCACTCCTTCCTTGCAAGACTCGAGCACAAATGGTACTTTTAACCTATTTAATACCAAATTAACTTCTTTTCACAAAGATGTTTTCAGTTTTTCGATGGAAGAAATTTTAGCTTCAAAGGTAAGTGAATTTAGATCAAAGAATGTCCTCTTTCTTTCGATTGTGGAACTGGTTGTACCTGAAACAACCTGGATGTGCCCTTTTTAAGAATGGGCGGAGCAGCTGTTATTGTTTTTGTCTGCTGTGCTTTCAGTTTTACATTCATACGCACAGTAATACTTTTAAACCAAGTAGAGAGCTATAATTAAATGATTTTAAATGACAGAAAAACTGAAAGGTAATTCCTCCCTCTATAAGATATAATTAGATCAGGATTTAACAGCTGCCATCATATTGTTTGATTTGAAGAAAGTGTTGATTGATTTAGTGGTTTTCTGTATTATACACAGTTTATTAACAGTCAGATGACATTAGTTCCTATACTGATATGATAAAAAGGAAAGTTTCAGTATCTGAAGCTTAGGGAGGTTCCTCTGTTAGTAAACTGATAGTAAAAAACTGATAGCAAAAGCATTTTGTTAAAATGTACAGCTAGCTATGACTGTGCTTTGAATTGAGGGCAAAGAAGAATGTCCTCTCTTTTCGGTTGTGGAACTGGTTGAACCTGTAACAACCTGGTTGTACCCTTTTCAAAAACATGAAGAGTAGCTGTTTATTATCTTTTCATATCTACAATCATACCTTTAAACCAGCAACAGTTAAATAATTTTAAATAACAGATTAACTGAAAGATAATTCCTCCTGTAGATGTTGATGTTACTTTGTTGTAATTTCCTGATGTATCTCTCACTTAAAGCACAATAACAATGTTATTATCCTGGGTTTTAGACCCAGTATTTTCAGTTTTGGACGTGTTACTGGCGCCAACCTAGGGGAAATCTTGAATGGCAACAAATGGCACACAGGCTAGAGAGCACTGCATAGGCAATTTTAAACTGTAATAATTAATAGAGTGGACACTGAAGTTAGCATTTTGCTCAGGGCCGAGCTCATTTATTTCTGAGCTGTGCATGCACGGAGCCTGTAGCTATCTAAGGAGCTATCTAATTTATTGAGCTCAAATACACATACAGATACACTATGTTGTCAAGTTTGTGTTTAGGAGTTTTGTCTTTGGGATGAACCAGTTTTTGTCTGTGTGTGGCTGAAGCCTCCTATGTTAGTGATGTGCCATGAGCAAAAGCATCCACTCTTAGAGCTTTGTAGTGAAACAGAAGAGCCGACTCCCGACTTTTTTTTTTAAACAAGGTTTGTTGTGTTCCACAGTATTTAACACATACATCGTACACAGTATAATTTCTATGCTGAACGTAAATGCAGTTATTATCTGTGAACAAAGTCAAGATTGTGTGTTTTGTGGTCTAATGTTTTGTGCCTCGGGTTTCTCATTGGCTCACACTCTTGCGGAGGCGTAGCACACACATGTATGAGAGGCGGAAGGCAATTGTAGTTCCTATTTAGCAGGATAGTCGGTAATACCCTGTAATTGCAGAGTTTACTTTTGTCTGTATGTCATATTTATGATTACAAATTTAAATTATAAATTAAAAACTTTTGCTGGTATTGGAAGTACAGTGGAACCCCGACTTACGAAATTAATTCGTTCCTGAGTTTCTTTCGTAAGTCGAAAATTTTCTTAAGTCAAAGCACCCATCGCGCCTTTTGAGTGAGGCGATGCTGAACGATAGGCTATAGGCTAATTGCTAACTAGAACAACAATACGTTGTTCAAGTGGAACAGCGAAGCGCAATTACGAAAGCCAAGGGGTTGTCACATGATTCGGAAGGCATTGTGGGCATTTTGGGCTCGGCCAATCAGAGGCAGCGGATTTCGTAACACGGGCATTTTGCCATAACACAGGCAGAAATATTGCTGTTCAGTGCCTTCATAACTTGAATTTTTCATTTAACGGGGTATTCGTAAGTCGGGGTTCCACTGTATCAATATTTCAGGATCGCTGTGCCGATCACTACAGTTAGTGAGTGAGACAAGAGCAGCGAGGAGGAAAGTGCGAGTGTATCACAAAAACATAAATATGACTGACACCCATAAACGAAGCAGCATCCAGCTGCAGTTTAAAGAAAAAGCAGATACTACCTAAGAGAAACTGAATCAGCCCATCCAAGGTGAGGCATCTAAGTTTTCTGATTGTCAACCTGCACTGAGGACATACTGTTCAGCTACTGAGTTTGCTTCCGTTTCTGTTCTGTGGTATGTCTGCAGTGTTTTTGTGTGTGTTTTAAATTAAAATTAAAAGTTTGATTAAAATATTAAAGAAAAGTAAGAATGCCTGCTTTTGTAACAGAACAAATACACAAAATTAGGCAATTATAAGGCTTCTCATAAAAACACTAAATGCAAAAGGGTTTATCAACACACAAAGCATTCATATTTGCTAGAATATGATGCTACAGATTATAATATATTAAGAGCCATTTGTGAGCCAAAAGAGCCGGCTCTCTTAGAAGAGTCGAACTTCCCATCACTACCCTATGTCAACTGTGAACAACCATCTTCGAACAGAAGCAGTGGTTTACGACACCAACTGTCTGCTATGTGTAATCCAGTTTTGAGATCCCTTCCCAGATGCCCTAACGCCCACTCACATCCTGGGCCATCTGACCTCAATAAATCACATGAAAGGGTGGGGCCAGGGCTGGACTGCAACAAAAAAAAAATCGGCCCGGGCATTTTGACTAGAGACCAGCCCAACAGGTATTATAGGAAAAACCATAAAGCCTTTGAATGAAAACAAACGCTGTTGTCACAGTGATGTACACTGTCTTGTTGGTATAT